TATATATATAAATATTTCAATATTTCGTTAAAACAGATGATTTTGATTTCAAAGGGCCCTCTTATTAACGCAGAGATTCAGCACTGGGCGTCATCTGTTAAGGCGTGGCGACAACAACGCCATTTTTTATGGTTACTCGGATTTTTCAATTCGTTTTTGTATTCTGCATTAAATTTTTAATTCAGCAATATGGCACACTAGCAGTTTCCCTTGAATTCTGATAAAAAAAGGCAATTTTATTGCGGAGTTTTATATGGGACACCCTGTATATATGAGTGTTTCATTATTAGTCCCTGATCACCAAATGAAACGGTATTTTTGTTCTACATCTACATCTCAGGCAAGGAATCTACTTACCTGTCGTTTCTTTCCTACTCCACTTCTGGGCCCCACAAAACATCAGGACGGTCCTGCTAATACCCACATGCAATTATCATTTGGAAGAGTCAACTGAAAAACTTTGATGACACTCACTTAAAATCCCAGTGGTTTATGTAAAATACTTATATAACCATATTCTAATTGAAAAAAGATTTGAAGGCCGTACAGTGGTTTATTTATTGCTACATACAATTAAACAATGGGTAAATGGAAAATCCGTTAGCGAAATACGCCTAGTAGCCATGAACACTTAGAGAGAAAAGGAGTGTCTCCATAGTTAATAGTTGAATATATCAGTTTTTGTCCTTAACTTTATCGATACATTCATATTACCATATCTTTACCACAACATATTGGTCTTTTATAACTCTTCACAACATGAAAATGGAGATATCAAAAGAATTGCAAAGCTGTAGAGGGCTCAAATTGTATTTATCATTATATTTCGATTTTCTTAATTCTGCAATTTCGAGAAATCTCTGTTTGTGCTGAGGCATTCTTTTCCGAAGGTTTTTAAATCTTTCCATGGCATTTATAATCTACTTAATAGGTTGAATTGGAACCTCTGACGTAATATAATCTAATGAAAATATTTTTCCACAGCAGAATAGAACCAATGCCCCTCGACGCGCATTAGTTATCTCTTGATGATGTTAAATGATTCACGAAACGAGTGTCGCGAGACAGGTTTTGTCTGGTGTGGGAGAAATGTTTCCATCACAATAATCATCCAGTTCTTTCGTTTTTCCTGCTAAAATATTAACCGTCCGAGTTTACATTTTTCAATGGTAAATCCTATTATTCCAAATGTTGTTGAAATAATAAATATAATGTAATATGTCATTTTCTGATTCATGAACCATTTAATGAAGTCATTTATTCTAATTTGAAAATAATCTATATTTCTCTCAGATTGAAGATGGCAATACCTCTTCATTCTCATGTGAATTTTTTGCGTCGTCAATATGTATTCAATGCCACATTATAATAATTGATGTAATCATCCTCAATTTTTTCGACGATATGAACAATATGAATATATTTTCTGGATGACTTGCCGTGGAATGATATTTCAATGTCAAATAAATTATCTCAAATCCACCAAGAAAATATATCATCATCTTGTTCAAAGCCAGAGACAAGATTTCTATTACCTAAACATTTATCAAATGTGAAGTCTGAACGTGGATATGAAACTCGGGTACAGGACTTTTTCTCACAGAGTTCTTCACAGAATTTACTAAGTATAATACTGGCTATGGTCCGATCATCTTAATAATTTCACCTCGGTATTTGAGATAGCCAGCTATAACATCCTAAAAGTTGTCCGAAAACCTACAATAGTTAATAAGAAATGAAAATTAATAATAATTATGTTTTTGTCAATTATCAAAATAAAGTTTATATGGCGTGTTTTCAACCGGGACTACCGGTTGACCTTAAATGATGCTACAACCGCGCGCTCTTCACTATCTATCTCGGTAATGAATCAATGTACAAAAAAAAATCAACAAAAGTTGTAGAGAATTTTATCTTCTACAATATCGATAATGAATACAAATTGCAAAAAACCTATAAGGAACGAGATATTTGCAAAAATGTGCAAAAAATCGATTATGACCTTTGACCTTAGAATTTGATAGTCGCGTACACACTAGCATGTAGAGGTTCTGAGACAACTTTCAGGTTTTCAAAATACAAGTTTGAAAGAGTTTGTAGCTGGGTATATAAAATTCCGACATACTTACCAAAATTTGACAAAGATGACTGGACCATTAGCCAAGTATTCTCGTTCTTACTAAATTACGGTACACTTCTCCGTGAAAACTCGACGTCATCACAAAAGTCTTCAGATTTCGGGAGACCATTTGTTCTTCCATTTTTTCTCTGGAGAAACTCGACACTCACTAAAAGTCTTCAAACGGCAGAAGAAGGTGCTAAATATCGTACTTATTGTTTGAAGGTGGTTGATAATGTTTCGTGGTGCATTAAATTAGTTTGGACTTTCATTGTCTAATATGTGTGTCTAAATATTGATTTGAAATCTCTGAAAGAATTTTTTTGTCATCACCCGAAGACGATTGTGGATACTAACAATCGAAACGTCGTGAAGTAACTTGGCTTGGAATATTTTGATATTTAATCGTTATTTTTTTTAATAATTTTTAATTTTCATTTCTTGTTAATAGTTCAATTTTTAATTGTTGCTTGACAAAATGTGAAAAACCAGAAAAGTACTTGATAAAAATAGCTGCGTAAACGCAAGCGAAACATATATATGTAGCTGGAATTGCAAATAATGTCATTTTTCGATGGTTCTTTTTTTAAATGTCAATTTTGACAGGTTAAGGAAATCACGTGACCTATTTTGTAGAGGCCATTTGACATCATTTCTTAAACAAAATCTACTGCCAAAATCAAATTTCACATAAAACGATAAATAAAA